AACGAAAAACACACAAGCAGAAGCAGAGATCTACCGACAGCGCTGGTATTGTTAATTACCAGTCGAATGAACGAGCCATGAATTGTGCAAACCGTATTGTTAGTTTCGGGGAAATTCGCCAGCGGGATTCGAACGATCTCCAAACTTGTTAGTTATCGATGCTCTAACAAATCCACGGTTATAGTTTCAAGCATTTCAAAAGGGAGGAGAACAGACTGTGCGTTACCGGGTTAAACAAGCGTTCGCAATTGAATTATATGCAACGTGCGAGATGTACAGTCGAAAGAAACTGTTCTGTTCCGAAATCGAAATTGAAGAAAATTCAAACGGAGATTAAAAAAATAAATCTAAAATTTATTACTCTGTGCGAGTGGATCTGGGATTATTTAAATTCTACGCTGCTGACTTTTCGTTGGGAATTAAATATGTACACGGGAATTCCAATCAGACACTTATATTTGCACGGTGTCTCGTAAAATTGAACCCTAGAAATTATATAGACGAGAAACTATCAAAAATATCAAGCTGTTACTTTCAGTAATTTTCCCGATAAATGCATGAAAAATTCGCAATCTACTAATTGAGTTTACTAATTAATTACACCGAGGTGTACATTGAATATTCTCTTCGTTCAACAGCCCTTGGTATCGTTCAAACAGCTTAAATATAATTCAATACAATTTTCGACCGAGTATCGTACGATTCTTCCATCAGAGCAGAGTTTGAACATGCTGATAGCAGGCATTTCCATTGTTGTCTCTAGCCCCGAAGTAACGGTCAATAATATCGAGTTATCAAGTGAAAGCTGGTGAAAAGAGAACGGATATACCTTTTAAAGTGCCCTCTTGCCCCGCACTCGATGACACTCTTTGATCCGTTCCTCCACCCGGAAATTGCAAATAAACCTGCAGATCCTTTAAATGTACCCCATTTAGGATCCATTAAGAAACGCGATGAGCACTTTGCAACGTACATTTCTCGGCAGAAGTTTCTCGAGAGGAAGTTGATTTCAAGCTTGCGAAGCTCGAATGAACATGCGAGCGAAAGGAATGTGATTTCTCTCTCTTCTTGTGAATTCGTAATTTACATTCCGTTAATGAGCGAGTAAGTCAACAGATCGGTGATCTGCTTTCGAAGCATCAACCACGAGTGTGGTTGCCTCTGCTGATTTATATATTGAATGACAACAATCGATCGAATCCCCGTACTTTTCATATCTCGATCGAATCGATGCTCGCTCGTCCGAGACTTTGAACAACCATTGAACCACGTTTGCGTTTCATTTGCTTCGTTGTTAATAATTTAACACTCGAACGATGATACTGCACGTTACAAAACACGTACGTACATACATATACACATGTAGGAAGAGTAAAGATTGCCGAGAGACTCTTAGCAAATTTCGGGCCATGTCGTGACGCTACGAACGATGGCATCATTCTCTTCACCGTCACAGACGCGGTGTAATTACGCGAAACTTGTTAATCCTAGGCGACGACGCGGCGAGAGACTAACAGAGGCTGGTTCCGTTTGTTCGCAGATTGGAGCACTGAAGGAATACTTCCTGTTCGCTGACAAACGACTTCACAAGAGATCCCTCTCGAGCAGCGAGTCGCATCACAAGACGCTGAGGGACGAGCCGAGGGTAAGTGATTATTCCATCTTTGGCGTGTCGAGAGGGGGGGGGGAGAGGGGGTAAGTACTCATCAAACTTCAACAACGAACACGGTCACAGGTGCGAAATATAGAAGCCGCGTAATTTTCACGGCGTCTGTCATCCCGGCTCCGTTGTTCGCGTTGTTTGCGTTTGTCGGCAATTCTAATTTTCTGCCGGCGTAATTCACCCGGTAATAATCTTCAACGTTAAATATTATCATCCGCTGGCCTTTCACACACTTGTTCAAGTCGCTCGTTATTTCTTCACCCGCTACGTACGTACCATATTTGCCCATGTCGCGAAATTTTGTCTTACTCTGTTGTAACATACATATATATATATATACTGGATGTTGTTGTTTCTTTATTGCACTTTTGCAACTAAAAATTGTACGTGTCCTGTCTGAAATTGTAATTATTTTCATGCGAGGGAAGTGGAAATAGAAGATGGTAGATTTATCGATAATGGATAAGTAAATGGATTTCGTGTAAGAAAATGCAGATTTTCCAATTACCGGCGGCCGAAATTTGCCGAAGAGAAAAATCCGCGGTGTCTGATCCAATCGCGTTACGTAAAAGCAAAGATCGGAGTTCGGAAAAGGCGGGGGGGGGGG